ATTACCTGTTTAATTTGCTTCAACTCAGCTGCTGCAGCTTTCTCTATTGCTGGCAGCGCCGAAAGCCTTTGCTGCTGCAGCTGCTGCTGCTGCTGCTGCAGCGCAGCAGCAGCAGCTTCAAGCCCCAGCACTTCTTGCTGTTCCACCTGCAACAGCAGCAGCACCAACAGCGCTAGCAGCAGCAGCAGCAGCATTAGCAGCAGCGGCAGCAGCAGCAGCAGCAGCAGCGGCAGCAGCAGCAGCGGCAGCAGCAGCAGCGGCAGCAGCAGCAGCGGCAGCGGCAGCAGCAGCAGCGGCAGCGGCAGCAGCAGCAGCGGCAGCAGCGTTTCTTGGCCTTTGGTGCAATATTCAGCATTTATTGTCTATTATTTATTATTTATTATTTATTATTTGTTATTTATTTATTATTTAATTGTATTTATTTTTAATTTATTAATAGTCATTATTACTTATTATTTATTTATTATTTATGGATATACCCATACAGGGGGCAAAGCTGTGATGCAGCAGACACAGCAGCAGCAGCAGCAGCACTAGCAGCAGGAGCAGCAGCAGCACTAGCAGCAGCAGCAGCAGCAAAGCAGCAGCAACAGCAGCACTAGCAGCAACGGCAGAAACAGCAGCGGCAGTAGCAACAGCAGCAGCAACAAGGACAGCCGCAGCAGCAACCGCAGCAGCAACCGCAGCAGCAACAACAGCAGCAGCAGCAACAGCAAAAACAGCAGCAGCAACAGCAGCAGCAGCAGCAGCAAAGGCACGCATGCGCACTTTGTAGTGAAATAGATAAATAAATGAATCAAATAAATAAAGGATCAAACAAATAAAATGAATTATTTATTTATTTATTTATTTATTTATTTATTTATTTATTTATTTATTTATTTATTTATTTATTTATTTATATTCTATTATTTATTTATTTGCTGCACCTGTACAGACAGCCGAGTCCAGTGCTGCAGTTTGGCCGCCCTAGTTTCTAAGGCGGCGATTTGGCTCTCGAGTTCGCTTTCCATCTCAAACCCTAAACCCTAAACCCTAAACCCTAAACCCTAAACCCTAAACCCTAAACCCTAGACCGCAGAGCTGCCGCGAAAGCCGCAGCGGCTGGCCGCAGGGGCCCCAGGGGGCCGCTTTGTCTTTGGGAGAATTTGCAGCGCAAAGAAAGGCCCTGAAAGGCTCAACAAAACCCTAAACCCTAAACCCTAAACCCTAAACCCTAAACCCTCGACGCGCCGGGGTGTACGTACAGCTGGTCCCGCTGCTGCGCTGCTGCGGTGCGGCCCCCCAGCCGCCACTTTCGTTGAAATAAATATTTAAAATAAAAAATAAAAACAAATAAAACATTTTAATTTAATTTAATTTCAAATTAACTCAAAAAACCCGCGAAATCCCCCAGGGGGGCCCCCGGGCGGGGGCCCCGCCACCGCCAACCCCACTCAAGGGGGCCCCCCTTTCTCATTTTCTCCCATTTTTGTTTAAATTTATAATTAATTTAAATTTAATTTGAATTATATTATTTATCTTATTCTTTTACTTTTTTTTTATTTCTTTTGAGCCGCGTTTTACCCCTAAAGGCGCAGCAGCAGCGGCTGCCCCATCACCACCCACCCAGCCTCTAGGGTTTAGGGTTTAGGGTTTAGGGTTTAGGGTTTTGGGCCTGCGTAGTTCCTTTTCCCTTAGATCCACAGCCACCCTTATCGAGTGTTTAGGGTTTACGGTTTAGGGTTTAGGACTTAGGATTTGGGGTTTAGGGTTTAGGCTTTAGGGTTTAGGGTTTAGGGTTTACGGTTTAGGGTTTAGGGTTTAGGGTTTAGTGCTTGCACTTCCACTCAAAACCCTCAATCAAATGTAAACTTGATTTATTTGCTTCAATTCAAAAGAAAATACTTATTTCAAAATAAATATCAATTTAATTTGAAGTCAAATGCAATATTTAATTTAAAAGTCAAATATAAAATTAGTTTAAATAATCAAATAAAATTTAAAATGCAAAAATATGAAATTAAATTAATTTGGAAAGCTCAAAAATAAAATCCATTTAAAGACTTCACCGAAAAGCTCTTATCTTTTTATTTTTAAAGTGCAATTTAGCTGTTTTCTTTTTTATGTTTTAAATTCAATTTAATTAATTTCTTTTTTATTTAAAAATTCAATTTAATTATTTTTTCTTTATTTTTAAAATGCAATCTGATTAAATAATTTCATTTAAAGGAAATTCAGATTTATAAATAAAAGCAATTCAAAAAGAAGACAAATCCAATTAAGTCAAAACAGAAAAAAAGTGCAAAAAATAAATTTTTTATTTTTCTAAAAAAATTAAATAAAAGAAAACCTTTAAATAGAATAAAGAAACTTTTAAATCTTTTAATAAATAAAAAATTCAAAAAGTCTTTTTTTGCTTTTTTTTTTAAAATCAAAAAAGGACATTTTTACTTCATTTAAGAATTTGCACTCCAAGGAAACTGGGAATAGAAGAAAGTTAAAAAAACAAAATAAATAAATAATTTTAAATCTAAAAATAAAAATACAAATTGATAAAAACAAAAAGCTCTGCGCATGCATGCATGGCCAAAGATCCTTAAAAGAATTTTTAAAAACATTAAAATGCTTTTTGTCTTTTTCTAAAAGACATAATTCTCTCAAGTACCCAAAAGAGGGCACAGGGGGCCCCTGGGGCCCCTTTAATAAAAAGGGCTTTAAAAGGGTCTTAGGAGGCCCCCAGAAGGCCCTCGAGGGGTTCTAAGGGGGCCCCCAGGGGGCCCCTTTGAGGGGGCCCCCAGCGGTGTGAAGTTCTTCAATACTTCAGGGGACAAAGGGGGCCCCCTACAGCGGCCGCAAAGGGGCCCCAGAGGGCCCCTGGGGGGGCCCAGGGGGCCCCTGGAAGGCCCTGAGGGGGCCCCTGGGGGGCCCCGAGGGGGCCCCTGGGGGGCCCCGAGAGGGGCCCCTGGGGGACTCCGAGGGCCTCCTTAGGACCCTATGGGGCCCTCAGGGGGCCCTATGAGGCACTCAGGGGGCCCCAGGGCCACAAGGGCCCCTCGCAGACCCAAGGGTCACTTAGGGGGCCCCAAAGGGGCCCCAAGGGCTCAGCAATGGGCCCTTTAAAGGGCACTTTAGGGCCCCTGGGGCCCCAAAGGGGCCTTTTAAATGTAGCTGAGGGCCCTAAGGGAGTAAAGCCACACTTAAGAGTCCTAATGGACTTAATTGTATCCTTAGGGAGTCCCTAAGGGCCCCAGAAGCCCCGGGGGGGCCCCGGGGGCCCCCCGGGGCCCCCGGGGGCCCCCGGGGGCCCCCGGGGGCCCCTGGGCCCCCAGGGGGGGCCCTTGGAAGGGCCCCCTTTTGCTGGAGGACTTCTTTATTCCCCGGTTGGCCGCATAATACAATAGTGGGTTTGAAATGTTTAAATTAGATTTCTTTTTGAAGAATTTAATTGAAGATTTGGTCCATTAATTGATTAAATTGAAAAGGATTTTGTTTGCAAACTTCACAGAAATGCAGTTTTCAAAAATTGAGAAAAAAGACCTTTTAGAAGCTGCATGCAGCCAAGTTCAAAAAGCCCCAAAAGGCCACAATTTAATTATTTGGAAAAGTGGCTTTTTTGCAAAACTTTCAAAAAAGAAAATACCATTTAGAGGCGCATTTGCACAGGAGTTGTTGGCCTCTATTTTTGTGGAAAATGTTCAAAAAGGAAAATAATATTTATTTATAAATCAGCTTTTGGATATCTAATAAACTGCCTCTCACTAATACCTTGAAAGTAGAAAATTCCGGGTTAAATGGACTATTTTTAGTTGAGAAAAAGATAAATTGAAGTTTAATCTGGAAATGATCATTAAAAACAAAAAGAATTGCCACTAAAGGTCTTTAATAATGCAAAAATAAAAGTTTTGTTCAAAGAATTGCATTTGGCGTTCGGGAAGGCTTGAGCGCTCAGGTGTATCCTCACCTCACCTGGTGTATGTACACCCGGGCGGCCGTTAAGTGGCGCCGGAGCTCCGGGAAAGTTCAATTCGAATTTAAAAACAGTTTTAAATTGGAATTAAATTTAAAACTGTTTTTAAATTCAATTTAAATTAAAAGCTGTTTTTAATTTGAGAAGTGAATATCAAAGGGAGTTCGACGGAGCCGCGCAGAGCTCTCTGCATGCGGCCGAGCAGCCAAGCGGAGAGCAGCAGCTCGCTTGCTTTCGGCTGTTTTTCGAGCTGCAGAAGACCTGCAAAACCTGAATTCTTTGTTTCAAATTGAAATTAAAACTATTTTAAATTGAAATTAAAACTATTTTAAATTAAAATTAAACTAAAATTGCATTTTTGTCGGGCGGTTGTTGCGGGAGCGCCGCGCGCGAGGCGGAGCTGCGTGTACACCGCAGCAGCAGCTGCCGATACACTCGAGAGCCACCGGCCTTCTGGCCTCTTTTGAGGGTCACTTTTGGAGTTTTTTGTTCGTTTTTTCGCGGACTTGAATTCCCAAATGAATTCATTTGGATTAAGGCTGTTGTTTTTTCTATTGGGGGGCTGGAAGGCCTGAACTGGGCAGCTTTCCGCGGAGTCGCGGCGGGGCGGTGGTCTGCGGTGTCCGGCCGGGCGATCTGGCCCTGCGCGGCGGCTCTGCGCGCCCTTTCGGGTTAATTCGTTTCATTTGTTTTTATTTTTGCATTTTGGGTTTATTAATTTCGCGCGAGAGGGAAATGAGCGCGGCGTTGGCGCAGCTGCTGCTGCTGCTGCTGGGGGGCGCGCGGCGGCGGCGCTGGGGTGTATGTACAGCTGGCGCGGGGTGTCTGTGGACTTTGGCGGCCGCGTTTGGGCTCGTTGGAAAGCCCTGCTGCTGCTGGGGGTCGGCAGCAGCAGCGCAGCAGCAGCAGCAAGCCGAGGAGCCCCCAAAAAGGCCCTACAGTTTGGAAGAAGTGCAGCAAACTCTGGAGTTGTGGTGGCCGGAGAGCGCCGTGTTCGACTTCGACGCGGCGCTGGCGCGGGCGCGGCCGCGGGCGCTGCGGCGCGGCCCCTGGGGTGTACAGACACTCGACAAGCTGCTGCTGCAGCAGCAGCTCAACGTGGAAATGGAGAAGTTCGTGGCGCAGCAGTTTGCTGCGCTGCAGCGCGAAGACTTGCTGCTGCAGCAGGTCCCGCTGCTCGCAGACTGGGACGTGCTGCTGCTGCTGCGGCAGCAGCTAACTGCCAAAAGGGTCAAAACTTCTCTTTCCGAATTCCAAATTAATTCCATTTTCCAGGGGGCCCCCCGACTGTACCCTTGGCTGCCCCTCCCCTCCTGCCCCCGCCAGCCCCGCTCTTGGGGGGCCCTCAAGGGGGCCCTCAGCCCCACTTGTTCCCCCGACGAGGGACCCACGCTCCTCTGAACGGGGGCCCTTTGGGGGGCCCCCATGGGGCCCCAGGGGGGCCCCAGGGGGGCCCCAGGGGGCCCTTTGGGGGGCCCCCATGGGGGCCCCAGGGGGGCCTCATGGGGGCCCCAGGGGGCCCTTTGGGGGGCCCCCTGGGGGCCCCAGGGGGCCCTTTGGGGGGCCCCAGGGGGGCCCCGAGGGTCCCGGGGGCGATCCCAGGGGCCCCGGGGGGCCCTCTCTGGGAGCAAGGGGGGCCCCAACAGGGGGCCCCTCGGGGGGCTTGGGGGCCCCTTTAGGGGGCCCCCTCGGGGGGCCCCAGTGGGCACGCCAGCGAAGGGGCAAGGGGCCCACAAAGGTCACAGGGGGGCCCCCAGGGAGCCCCCAGGGGGCCCCCTGGGGGGCCCCTCAGGGATTGACTCGGGGGCCCCTGCTGCGTGGCAGGGTACAGGGGCCCCTGACGGCCTTTTCGGGGGGCCCCTGGGTCTGCAGGTGGGGGCCCCTACGGAACTTAGGGGGCCCCCCTTTTATTTGGGTTTTTTTTTGGCAAAATTTGCTGCTAAAGGGGTACAGTTAAAGAGACACAAAGCTCTCCTGCTGCAGCTAAAAGCCAGGGGCCCCCATGTGGCTGGGGGTCCCCTCCTAAACCCTTTTGCAGAAGGGCCCCCGCACAATTTAGGGGCCCCCGGGGGCCCCCAAGGGGCCCCCTGGGGGGCCCCCGGGGGCCCACGCCGGGTCTTTGTGGGGCCCCACGCGCATGCAAACAATGTGCATTTCTATTTGACTGTTTTTAGCCCTTTTAGTTTTAACTACAGATTCAAAATGCCATTTGGGGCCCCCTAGGGGGGCCCCCATTGGGGGCCCCCTAGGGGGGCCCCCCTTGGGGGGCCCCAAAGGGGAGACCCCCGTAGATAGGTCTATAAAAAAGGGTACTTGTGGGGGCCCCCACGTGGGGCCCATTACAGAGGAGGGGCCCTTAGAGAGGGGCCCCCAAAGGGGGTCCCTGTAGGGGGGCCCCACAGGGGCCCCTGTAGGGGGCCCCCACAGGGGCCCCTTATAGGGGGGCCCCCATAGGGGGCCCCATACACTGCGTAGGGGTGGGTACTTCAGTTAGGGCTGCTGGGGGCCCCCTGCAGCAGAGGCAGCAGCATGGGGGGGCCCCCCACATATGGGGGCCCCTTCAGTCCGGGGGCCCCCCCAGCTGAGGGGCCCCCTTAGTTGGGGGCCCCCCTGAGTTGGGGGCCCCCAAAGACATTGGCAGGTACCCTACCCTCCAGCCAAAATGAGATAAGACCCAGTGCCTGCAGCACAGCAGCAGCAGCAGCAGCAGCAGCAGCAGCAGCAGAGGCTGCTGGGGGCCCCTTAAAAGCTTACGGGGGCCCCCAGTCTACTGGGGGTCTTGGGGGCCCCTTCAGGGGCCCCTGGGGGCCCCTGAGTCCTGTCGACAGGGAGCCTCTCTCTTTGCTAGTCTCTTGGATCTGCAGCCCTTTTCCACTGCCTAGGGTTTAGGGTTTAGGGTTTAGGGTTTAGGGTTTGGAGTTGAAGAGCTTACCGCCATCTTTCATAGGCAGGCAGACGCAGCAGCCACTGGGGCCCCTCAAGGAAGTAAACGGGAAAGCCAAAAAAGGGTACTGCAGCGGGCAGGGGGCCCCCAGCCATGGGGGGGCCCCCCAGGGGGCCCCTGGAGGGGCCCCCCTGGGGGGCCTCTTCTAAGTTGTTAAGAATTATGTCTTCGATGCTGCTGATAACGAAGAGAGCTGTACCCCTGCTGCCGGGCGCCTGCGTCAGCTGCCGCTGCTGCTGCTGCTGCTGCTGCTGCTGCTGCTGCTGCAGCTGCAGCTGCTGCTGCTGCTGCAGCTGCTGAAGGGCCCCCGGGTTGAGCAGCACTTGCTGCTGCTGCTGCTGCCTCTCCTTCCTTTCTTCTTCTGTCTCCTCTTCATACCCCAAATCAGGTACCACCCAGTCATGGGCAGCAGCACCTAGGGGCCCCCCGGGCTTCGGGAGGCACAGGGGGCCCCCTACGAGGGGGGCCCCCTGGGGGCCCCTGGGGGCCCCCCCGGGGGCCCCCGGGGGCCCCTGGGGGGCCCCCTCTGGGGGCCCCAGGGGGCCCTCTGAGGCTGCCACCGCCAAGTCCACCGTAAAGGGGAAAAAGGGCAGAGAGGCAGCACACC